CTTATTTCCTCCTGCTTCTGCAAATCAGATGCGAATGCGTAACTTCCATCTACCTACAGAAGAATCTTTGTTTAGAGCCATGGTTGCTATGCTCAAATTTAGTTAAGTTTATACAGAATTCTACAGAAAAAATATAGTCAAGCTAGGAAAAAGGACAACATCTATAAACATATGAGGAGACCCGGAGAAGGGTTTGTATGCATAAAACCTTGCTTGCTTTTTAACAATTATTTCCATTGATCTATTAAAATCTACTGCTCTTCCCTACCAACCTTGCCTCAAAACATATATCTATGTCTTTAAAAGCCAGGACAGACTGTCAGGTTTGATCACCACTGCTGTGAGGTAATGTTACCTGCTCAGGCTTACAATAAGACTACACAATTTTTGAGTTTCCAGTGGCTTATATAAAGAAGTAAACTTAGAAAAATATACTGTCCTCTGACTTTAGCTGAGCTGGTAACTTTGCCTTTGGCATTGCAGCTGCTATACTTGATGGGTTTTCTCCGGTTCCTTGTATAAGGGAAATTTGAAAACTCCTCACTGTTTTAGAGTGAGTTTCAAACACAGATGGGAAACTCCTGGATCCAGGCAATGACTGGTGAATCTCAGCTCTCAACAGAGGAAAAAGGTACCTTCCTCCCTTCTGATGGTCTGAAAGAAAACTTGAAAAACTAAAGACTCAAGGACCAGGAAAAAAAAAACCCAAACCAAACCCAACCAGAAACCAACCTCATTAAATTCCTCACATTTGGAGTCATTATTCCAACTGTCCAGCTGCTGACAGCCCATCCCTGCAGAACACTATTGCATGCCCCTTATAAATGAAGCCAGGCAGAGCAGGAGTCACCAGGAGGGTGGCACTATCTGACAGAACATGGCACCTGGCACTCTTCAGCTTTCTCCATTTCTCCAAGACACCCCAGATTTCTCCCTAAAATCTTTCTTCCTTACTGACACTGCTCTGCAGCTCCTGCCTGCAGGAATACACCAGAGATTTTGGCACTACCGCTGGGAAATCTTGAAGTGTTATTTTATAAGGAGCCTTTACCTCCCCCCCCCGCCCCGCACTGATGGGAAGAACACAAGGCAAAGTCAAACAAAGCTCTTATTCACTGCCTCAGTCCTCTAAGTCACACACCCCCGTGCTTACGCATGCACACACAGACACACTTCAGCAAGAGCCTTGTGCGTACTCAAGCAGGCACAGCCCCAGGCAATGAGAGGAGAAAGGGCCCTAATAATTGTCATTTATCAATATTCATAAAGAACCTGCCTTCACCCCCTCTTGTGCATGCTCAGGAAAAAATAAAAACCCAAAATGAAACCCAACCAAAATAAAAATAAAAATAAAATGAAATAATCATCTTGCTGCTCATTACCGCAGGGGATTTCCTCTCAATGTCACCACTGCCCTGCGCAGTAATTGGCATTATCTGTTATCTCTGAAGCCATAATAAGGTTTGCCACGGGGCATTTTCTGTAATCATATTTTTATTTGTCAGCTTGTGAGATACAGGCACCAAATATGAGCTTGATAAAAGCACAAACCCAACACACAGCAAACCCGCATGCTGCCAATCCCAGCTCTTGCCGGTGATGTCACACGCAGCCAATGAGGCACCCGCCAGCTCCCACCCTCCGTCCCCGCTGCCGCATTCCCTCGCTCCAGATAATGCTTCCCTCTTCCTCAGGAAAGCAAGGATTTGTGACCTACCCCCATACCTGCTCCTACATTGTTTCTGACAGTACATACAGCCGGCACTGAATGAGCTGAGAGCTGACCCATGGACAGTCAAAAGGGACTATAGATTTGGGGCACCCAGCTGAGGCCGTGAATATAGGAGAGCAGACACCCAGCTTAGGACAAAAAACATCCGTTACATCCAAAGAAAACCTCCTAGGTGAGGATGGTTCTACAGTGATGCCCAAGGAGCCCCAGGTTCCTCTGCCATTTCTTGCAGCACTGCTGAGCGCGTCCGTTCCGGGCACTGCAGCGCGGTGCAGAGCCCTCGGAGCCAGCACAGAGGAAAAGCTGGGAGCAGAAGCAATAATGCTGCATCACTGAGCTAACCGCTCTGCTTGCCAGCTCAGGCAAAGCACCAAGGTAACACAGAGACACTGGCTGCAGGATCCCACCTCATACCTCTGCACGGTGCTGTCTGGGGTCCCTGGCACGGCACAGTGCCACGTACACAGAGAAGTCCTTAGAGAACCCTACAGCAGGTTACCTCTGAGCTTTCCCCCATGGCCAGCCTGTACCACAAAACCCCACAAGTGACTGTGCCTCAGAGTGAGGTACATCAGATCTTCCCTCACTGTCTCCAACAAATAAAATCATAAGAACAGAAAGCTCGTCCTTCTTTAAAACAACACCCAGACCCAAGGTCCAAGCCTATTCTGCTCCCTTGTCTGAGCTGTTTGTTTGAAAACACCTCTCAGACACAGGTGATCTCTCCCCACAGTAGCAGCAGAAGCCTTTTATTGACAGAAGAACTGGGGAATCCTTTCTGATCCTTTGATCCGGGAATCCTGCTGCATCAATCCATTTTGAGCAGCGAAAGCTGAATGTGGTTACAGACTGCTATGAAAGCAAGGCACAGATATTTCATGGTGTTTTGGGAGGCACAGGAAGAAGATGGGACAATGACACAGGGCTGGGGACACCAGGCTATCAATCTACTCTGCCAGTAGGTTAGAGGCACCCACATTTAGTTATTAACCAAAGCAGAAGCCTTCATTTTTCAACGTGGTCATAACTGGATAACCTGGCTGATGAGATGATTTGTCATTTCACTGCCCCACGACAGGACAAGGTCAGGCTTCATTGCTTAGGAAAGCACATTAACGTGGATACTCACACACAGGCACACACATAGATTTATGCATGCTCTGGTTTTCAAAAAGGATTTAATGATAACTGTCCAGAATGCAACCCAGAGTCTAATATAACACAGACCACACAAGCCTCAGAGTGACCCGGAGGGAGGGAGAGCTTATGATTTACTGCTAACTTATTCAGCACTAGAGGGTAGTCGAGTGGGAGCTGGCAAGGAGACAAGGGATTTACTTCTAAACAAGACTACTGCCCACAGTCCAATATGTTTAACAGAGGAAAATGGATTCCTCAAGACAGACATCACTCTGCCTTGGAAATTCCACATATTGTTAAATCTGCAGAGGTGCTCGTCTGTCTGACAGCCTCACCACGGTCTGCAGCTTATTAAAGTCTGACACACCAAGAGGTATTCATCACAAGCCCAAAGGACTGGTCTGTATGTGTATATATGCATGCTTTCAGTGAAACTTCTGTCCCATATTTCCCTGGAATATTTATTTGGAAGAGTAAATCATTTCTCTTCAGTTGTACTGAAATATTTTTGAGTGTTCTTGGATTGGGTCTCTAAGTGTTAAACCGTGTGTGTATGTGACCCACCAGCAGTTCTACTGCCCAGTGCACGTGAAAAATAACAGCTGTACGACCTATCAAGGATTATGCTGATTATAAGAAGGTTGTGATCACTCAATCCAGTTGATTAGCAGGGAGGAAAAATTGGGGAATTCACAGAATAAAACTTGTCAGAGGTCTTTGTCAACAGAGAAAACTCAGATCCTCAGTTAGGACAGGCAACCTGCTCTCGGCTCCTCTGGGAATTTGGTTGACTATTGTAACCCTGCCTGTGCCAGGTAGGCATTGTCCTCACGACCTTCTCACCCAGATCCACCACCTCTGAACTGCCTCTTCTGCTAACAGTATAGCCTTCTTAATACATCCTCAAGAAAGGCTCTTATTTCCCTATTTATTAGAAATAGTTTATCTTTCAGCTTAATATTTCCTGTTGAAATGAGTCAGAGATGTAGAGGGAGGGGGCTGGAAGAGCAAGTCTGCACTTCAGAGAAATAAGCAGGCAGTGAGGGGTCAGCAGCTCCACAGAAACTGTGCTCAGGTTGATTATAACAACTTGATTCAGGATAATGTAAATTACCTAAATTTGCTGAAGATGAAGGAGAAACTGGTCCTATTTAAAACACCACCTGAATGCAGAGGTTAAACCACATCTGATGGTTAAATCATATGATGGAGTTAGTGAGTATCAATAGCAGTCAGATCAAGGAAATTCTTCCCTACTGGAAAGGAAATTAAAGGCAACACTGACTCAAACGCCCAGGAGGGATTCCGTGAACATTGCCAAAAGCCAGCAGGTTTCCAAAAACTGAAGGAAGCCACAAAATGACTTTGCTGTATTCATAACTGTCCCAAGTTTCTTCAGGGATTATAGAATCATAGAATCATAGAATGGTTTGGGTTGGAAGGGACCTTAAAGCTCATCCAGTTCCAACCCCCCTGCCAGCAGCAGGGACACCTTCCACTAGACCAGGTTGCTCAAAGCCTCATCCAACCTGGCCTTCAACACTTCCAGGGAGGAGCAGCCACAGCTTCTCTGGCCAACCTGTTCCAGTGTCTGACCACCCTCACAGCAAAGAATTTCTTCCTAATATCTCATCTAAACCTCCCCTCTTTCAGCTTAAACCCACTTCCCCTTGTTCTGTCACTACCTGCCTTTGTAAAAAGTCCCTCCCCAGCTTTCTTGTAGCCCCTTCAGGTATTAGAAGGCCACTAGAAGGTCTCCCTGGAGCCTTCTTTTCTATTTTGATACAGTGTATGCAATTCTCAGTTATTAGCAAGTGCCCCAAGAATGATGCAAATGAAACTGCTTTTCCTTGGTGGTTTTGTTTTTCCTGGTTAAAGCATTCCCTGTGAATGAATCCTCCTCCAGTGAGAAATGACCAACAATCTTCTCCAAGAAAAGTCTGTCTGTGACTGGTGCACTGTCTCACACATGCTCAAGAATTTAAGAATACACCAGCACTTTACACAGTGCTTTTAGAGCTCTACAACATCAGTTACTTAATAGTAAATAAAAGTATCAAGAAACAAGAACCTCTTGTTCTGTGTTTTTATGTAACAGGTCACTCCCGTTGGCACTGGCTGTACTCACCATATTGAGTGACTATGGCAGAAGTCTAAAGCAGAGATGATTTGTCGGAAGAACTTCCTGGCTTCTTTTGGTGTCAATCTTCCCTTTTTTACGAGATAGTCGAAGAGCTCCCCACCTGACACGTGTTCTAGCACCAAATACCTAGAAAACAACAAAGCCAGGATTTTGTAAGACCATGATCATACCAACCCCCTCACACACACACAGAGTTATATACAAATACCTTTATTGACACGCAGTCAAGAACACTTCTGGAAAGAACAGTGAAAGAAAATCAGAATTTTGGAGTGATTAATATTTTTAACAGGGGGCCTGCAAACTTCAGATGTGCCCCTGCTGGATTCGTGGATTTGGTGTTCAAAATAATAGTGAGACATGATCTAGAAGCCCCAAATGACTCAAAAGACCAGGATAATCAGGTATAAGCTTTCAGAGCAGCTCTTAAAGCTACTGTGGAGTGAGACTACATGCTGGGAAGCCTCAGGTCCCTTCACCAAGCTGACAGTTCCTTTATAAAACAGCTGTGGCAAAGCTGCACTCACACACTGTTCTGTCTGGGACATGTGAGAACGAGACAGATGTCAACAAACTAGAAGGAATTTAAAAAATAAAAAATTTAAAAAAAAGGTGAGTAGTTTAAATTATGAAAACAGATAAAAAGAATTACATGTGTGCAGCCTACGTAAGGGCTTCAGCTTTTGCTGCTGAACAGCGGTGATTTGCTGGAGTAGCTGCCCTCCCTTGCAAGTCACACGTGAAAAATGTGACACCGAGTGAATAAACGTGGCACAACGGGGACCTGGGAGCAAGAGAGGAAACCCCGGAGCTCACACAGCACTCCTGGCAGTCACGGAGAGAGGAGGGAAATCTGGAAGGAAAGGACTTGCCATGGGTGGACTGTCTTACTGCTGTAAGGAGGGGTAATGAAAGGTAGCCAAGCAGAGGAAAACTTACTATAAATCTCTGGAAATGTTGCCTAGTAGTGGGAATGAAATACTTTCCCCAGGGAAGTGGCAGGAACACCATCAACTGAACCATTTAAAAATAAGCCAGATATAATATGGACTAAGCAATAGACTGCTATTGGCAAGAGGATTGCTTGAAACCACCATGGGCTTTTTCTTCCCCCGTTGTGATTCTGTGCTCTCCTGTCTCTTTGCTTGTTCTTCCAGCGTATACTATTCTAATATAGAATGAAAAAAATTATGCAGTGAGATTATTTATTCAGAATCTGAAATTATGTGTATAAACAATAAATTATTATTAATTTTTTTAACTGAAAAATCACTTTTGTTCCTTGGTTCTCTTAGCTGGTTTAAACCCTGGTAAGAGGGGCAGAAGCCTGTACTCCTCCCTTACTGTCTAACTCCTTTGAAGTGAGTTTCAGGGTTGCAGGACAAGGCATGCCACCTGAAAGGTGGTTTTTGTAAAGCAACAATGTAAAGGTGAACAGGGCATTCAAACCTTCAGCAGTTTGTTTGAGAGCCATCACCAGAAAACCTGCAAACAAGAATTAAACATTTTTCCAAATTTGAAGTGTACAGCAAGTTAGTCTGATTACCAGTATTAATCCAACTCTTCAAATCTGAGTGGACAATGAAAATAATTAATCCAGGACAGTGTATTTGTTGTACCTCAAGCAGCATAATCTTGGAGGAAATTTCTAAATGTGAAATGGAAAGGAGAGAAGATTATTATAAATTTGGGGGCTTAAAGATTCCTGTTTTCAATGTTTCCAAAAAGAAAAGGAACAGTAGAAGGAGTAAAAGCTATTCCGAGGAAAATAAAATTGGCTTAATGATAATGGCATTAGCCTTGAAGTTGCAAAAGTGGGACCTGAGCTCCTGGTCCCTCATCAGCTCTTGTGCAACTTCCACATGTCAGCTCCCAGGCAGCACAAGGAAAAAGCATTTCCCTGCCTCACAGAAATGCAGCAGAGAATGCAGTAAGAGATGGACATTAATTGTGGCTTGCCAGCTAAGTAGTAAAAAAGCACTCAAAAGCGGACAACAAAATGAAATTCTAAATTTCAGAGAATTAAAATGGTATTTTCTGCAACTTTTATCAAAATAGAAACAGTTACAAGAACTATGGTAATACTGATTCTTTTTTTTTTTTTTTTTTTTTTTTTTCCATTAAAATGGGTAAAAAAGAGAAAACTCTTGATCTGAAAATCACATTTGGAGTTTGTGGGTTATCTTCCCTCTAAGTGAAGAGATTAGTAGTTTCCAGGCTGTCTGCTGGAGCACACCTTGGAGATCACTGTTTATTCCCATTACAATTTTTGAGCAAGACATTCAGTCGCTCAGAAGAAAGCTGATGGCCATGGGCACTGGGACATCCACATTGTCAAGTCCCAATCCTCACTTTCCAAGCCTTGGCTGACAGACACCCCAATAAGAGGGTTTGCTATAGAATTCATTCTCCCTCTCGTGCTAGAGAGAGATCTGGCTGACTGTCCCATATGACAGACCCAAGCCCAGCACAGAATTGATCCTAAAATTCTTCTTGACAGCTCTCTCTCTCTCACCATGCCCAGCAGAACCTGGATACAGCTCTGCATTTTGCCCCAAAATTCAAATTGATAGCTGCTTTCTTTTCCTAGGAGGTATTTTATGAAGATGATTGCAGTTACAGGCACGCAGAACACCCTCCACATTGGTTTCAAATGCACAGTTTTGGAAAATTACAGACCCAGCATTTCTGTCACCCACAGCAGGAACTGCAGAGCAATTTATTTTCATCAACTTCATCTTATTAAAAACACTCAACAAAAATGCACTGACACGTTGTACGAAAAATAAAACAAATTGAAAGACAGGGAGCATTTACAAGGTTATTCATTTTTGCTTGCCACCTAGAAGCATCACATATAATAATGGAAATGAACAGGGGAGAACATTTGAAAAAGATTTGTGCCTGTGACAAGTCAAAGGACGCCGAGAAACACAGAGACAATGTTGTCTGATCTGACAAAGCCCCCAACGTGACAGGAGTGAGAAGGACAACAAACACATTCCCCAATGGGCAAGTGCAACAAAGAAATGCTGCAGGGATCCTTCCACAAGTACTATGTGGTGATGGTGCAGGTAGGATTTCTGAGATTGGATTTGCAGCTGATCACCCGCCAACCGTCATCCCTCCAGTACAATATGGGTTTTTTAGGATAGCCCCCAACTAGGAGATTTTTGATTAAACAAGGGCATAATTCAGCACCTGTCTCCATCTCTGGGCAAGCCAATGTTTTGCTGCTGCGCTGCCTGGCACAGTAGTGGTATACATGTTATTTCCAAACAGGCCAACAAGAGAGGTTTAAACATTTCCAGGTGTTCATCCAGTTCTAACTACACTGCACACTACCACAATCCCCACTGAATGCTGAGGATCTGCATCTCCCCACCTATCTGTGAGTCTCCATAAAAGAAGAGAATACACACTCTGAAAAGCCAAATGGAAAAAGCAAAAGAAAGAGGGAGCATTATTCCAGAGGCTGGCAAATCAGGCACACAGACACTACAGCCTTCCCAAATCTGTGGCACAGAAGAGAATCCAGATTTCCTGAGTCCACGTCAGCATTTGAAATCCTTTAATTTATCAAGGTGCTATAGGATTGGAAGTATGCCAATGCTAACTCTTAGAGGATCTAGGAGAAGGTAAATAACACATAGCCTGCAGGGGAGAAAAACACTAAGAAGTATTTTCCTAAGTTTCCCCTTCCATTTTACCTTTCCCAGATATGCCAGGTTCTCATCTCACTATACTTTTCCCATTTATTCTAAGAGAGTGAATTCTAAAAATCCCAGAACAGTAACCAGAACCAGTCTCTTATTACGTATGGAGATGAAAAGTAACTTACTGGTGAATGAAGCTCTTTTTTAAATCCTGTCTCCTTAGAGAAGACTACAGGGAGATCTTATAGCGGCCTCCCAGTACCTGAAGGGGCTACAAGAAAGCTGGGGAGGGACTTTTCATAAGGGCAGTTAATGACAAAACAAGGGGAAATGGGTTTAAGCTGAAAGAGGGGAGGTTTAGATCAGATATTAGGAAGAAGTTCTTCACTGTGAGGGTGGTCAGACACTGGAACAGGTTGCCCAAGGAAGTTGTGGATGCCCCCTCCCTGGAAGTGTTGAAGGCCAGGTTGGATGAGGCTTTGAGCAACCTGGTCTAGTGGAAGGTGTCCCTGCTGCTGGCAGGGGCGTTGCTGGCTCTGAGACAGGCTGGCTCTGAGCAATGCCTGGAAAAATGCTGTTAAAGAAAGACTAAGTGGCTCAGGGAACACCAGGACCACGCATTACCAGATATTTATGGCAAAATAACAAAAAAACCCCAAACAAACACACCAGTTATGTTCTGTAAAGAATGAAAAGCTGTCTTTAAGTCAGTAGCAAGAATGGTGTGAAACATTAAAACTCTTGCCAGATGGGATTGCCCGCAGCAGCCCATCACTATACATCCCAGTGTTTTCTCAGCCTTACAGATGAAGACAATTTAGGAGACATTCACAGCTACACAAATTAGGTCCTCTGGGGCAATACAAACGAATTCATTATTATAAAAGCATTAAATGGATAGAGATCTTTAGATGAAAGCTCATACTGAAACACAAAGTATTTCAGGTAAGTATTATAAATGCAAAAAACAAAGAGTAACAAGAAATACTCTCTGGTGATTTAGGAACGGTAGACAAATCACACAGCTTCTTGTTTTGGTCAGGCAACAGAAGGTTTGTTCATCAGGGCATGCAATTATCTGTCTGTTAGGGAACTGGTTAATATTCCATGCTTTATTAAATAGTATGATATTTACAGATGCAACAGACAATATTGCTTAAACCTAAACAAGCAGGTTGGCCTTTTACAGCAGCCTGAATGCACCACTGGGCACCATCACACACCACCGAGCTATGTTCTAGGACTTTTACTATGCAAGAAGTTAGACTGGATACTCATGTGGCACTTGTTTGCTTTCAAGATGTACAACTTCAGGTGTGCACTGCAGAAAGATGCAAAACCCAGATGGAATTACACAGAAAAAGATACACACAAAGGCAAGAAAAACCAGGAGAGTTCCTGCTCGTGTCCTCTATGCTCAAGAGTTTACTGCTTTGTGGTGCCTATGGGTGAGGCATTTCATGAAATGTC